CAGGGAGGGGGGGGGTGTTAAAGCTCTGCAGATGCCAGTCTGTCTTCTGAAAGAGGACCATTTAAGACTCCCCTGCCTCTGGAAGACCATTACTATAACTCAGCCCCACTATCTTTCTCACACACACACACACACACACACACACACACACCTCTTGTTAGGACGTTGCAGTGGCTCTGATTCAGGTGAAGGAAGAACCTGATTACTTCACGCCTGAGCTGAAGCTAAAACTATCCAGCATTCCTTCGTCTCCCCGTCCTTCAGTTCCTCAGAAACTAGGTTCTCCCGTAGAACCGACCCTGTTCTCCACATAGACCAGAAGTTCTGCTGTACCTTCAGACTTCACTGAACAGCTGAGATGATGACGTATTAGCCCAGGCAAAGACCTGTGTCATGTACGAAGAATGACTTCTCCTGTGAAGACTTGGTATTTGTAGGTCTGTCACAGTAGTACTGTGGTACTGTGGTACTACCTGGGTGTCACATGATCTCATGCTCAGATCACAGCAGTCTGTCCACTTCAGGACTCCTGCCTTTAGACCATGTTGGTTTCCCTTTAACAGAGAAGATTCCTTTCCTCTTACGTCCTTCCACTCTGTGGTGGACAGGGTTAGGACGCCAGGCAGAGCATAAAACATCATTTTAACTCTTAACTCAAATATGTTGCATTTTTGCTAATGAGGCTCTGACTCACACACTGTCGAGTCGGCCTGTGGCCAGAGTGTAGGAACCAGAAAGAAGGCCAGACTCTGAGAGGAGGCCAGTCTAATTAGAAGACTTTCATGTTTATTCTTTGATTCTGGTAGAAGGAGGGGACCAACAGAGAGGATCTGTCCTGTCCCTGTCCTGGACATGGAGGCTTCTTTGGACTCTCAACAGGTTTAAAAAACCTTTTTGGCTCCAGCTTTGACAGTTCAAAGTCTGATGACTTAATTTTTGGCAGACAACCAGACTGAAACAGATGAAAGATTATGTATAGTCCAAAATGACAAACATCAGTTTGTACAGGCTTCATGACAGAAGAAACAGCATTGGTTTGACCTGTGTAAACTGCACAGGCACAGAGCGGAAAACAAACAGATGAAACATTTGTTAATAAAGAAACAGAGCTATTTGATATTTCTTTAATCCTTATTTGAGGTTTACACACTTTTGTAAGATGTGTTTCTTTCAGAGAATTCCTGTTCTTCCCCCTTGTCTCAGGTCAGAAATCCAGTTTTGAGAAAAGAAAATCTGATCTATTAGAGCAACAGTTGCAGCAAATCTTTGACAATCATTCTCCATCACCATCTCTGCCTCCATTCTCTCCAACAAAAGTCGTGTGTGGGACACGGCTAAGTAGAAACAAGAATTGGAGTTACACTGTCAGGTTCTGTCCAATCAGAATCGAGAAGTGTTGTCGCTACCCTTTTCGCAAATTGAAATGTTGTTGTATTTTGTGAAATGTTGTTGTGTTTTGACCTTCAGGGCCACCATATGCAGTATTTGAGCACAAGCGCCGAGTTGTTGGCAGCCAGAAGGTCCACACAAACCAGAGGAGCCAGTGTCAGAAGGAGGAAGAAGATCAGCTGTGGTGCCCCCCTGAAGGGAGAGGCTAAAAGAAGATAAAAAAATAGAATCATAGTCTCAAAAATATTAAGCAGGTCTGATACTATAGTACGTCTAGAACATTCCTGCCATGATACACTGGCTGAGCGAGTAATGTTTTAGATATTTCCCTGCTCCGCCGTGTCACTTCTCATAGTTCTTTCTGATCACGCACCACTGTTCAACATTAGATATTTCATTTTCTACCAATATAACCCTCATTAGACGCCCTGTTGGTCAGAGATGTTTCTGTGTGATGAAAATGTGCTCGGCAGCGATTGCTGCTGGTACAGTTCTCTGTTCACTTGTGTTGCAAAACCTATAAGTATGATTAAGTGGCTCTCATGTCCATCAAAGGAAGGTGACTTACAAATGGAATTGAGTATTTTCTATAGAAGAAAAATAAAACATGCAGCAGAGCAGATGCATGTCCAAGTAAAGGCATCCATGTATATAAACGCAGTAATAATACAGACATTTGGTGGAATTTTACTGCAACAAATGTTAAATGCTGTGCTATAATCCTGGCTTCAGTCATGTGCTCATTAGCAGCAACATTTAATTAACAGAGGTTAGAGTAAAGTCATATGATGCAAACATAATTTCTCCATCAGCCACACACCCAAAACTAAGAACAAAAACTAAGAACAAGAAACTAAGCAGCAATGCAAAGACAGCATCACGCTCAAATGACCAGAACACTCACAGATACAGCCTGTGTTTATTAATTAATTAAAATATCGGCTTCTGATTTTAAAATTTTACAAAGGAAACATTTAATAAAAATTCTTCATTGGGTGGAAAAATCTTTGCTTAGAAAAAAACCCTCCAAACTGTAATCGCATTATTTATTTGGCACCCTAAAAATACCACCCCGTAGTGGCAGCTCGCACCACACATCCCTGCTGTAATAGGACGTCTCTAAAAGGTTGTGGAAAATTCTAATCTTTTTGTTGATTCCAAATCATAATTCTGGTTGTCAGGCCACAGGTATCGTGTTGGGGAAAAAACAAACAAAAAAACAAAAGAAAAACACAGGAAGAGGAAGAGCAACCCTGCTGTGATGAGGTTTGTTTTCTCCTCTCATCTGAAGCTCAGCACTGCTCTGTGAACCACAGTTCAGTCAGTCTGTCTGAGTGATGTCCCAGCAGGAGTCACGGCGTAATTAATCATAATCCATCACTGTGACTGACAGGGCTGGAAAGTTGTGCCAGTCTGGTTTGATCCATCATATTTCTGTTTCTGTTTACCACTAATGTACAGACTTATTTTTAATTGCATCTCGACCTGAGTGGGGAGAAATATTAACGCCAATGACACAGTGCAGGGTGATTTGAAATAACCGTGCTCCACGAAAATATGATATATATATTTATATTGTTAAGTCATCAAAATGCCGCACCATCATTCACCACTAGGTTATTTGTAAAATATTTTCATGCTATATTTTATTAATAAGTCTCAGCTGATATAAGTTTAAATTCAGAGTAAATACTGGAGAAAAAAAAACTGACAGTACATCACACACAAAAAGCACCAAGAATACCAATTAGCTCGCTAAATTCAGACATAATGTCTGAATATGTAAAATATAAGGTGCAAAAATGTAAGCGGAGACACATCGCTTTCCAAGATAATTGTTAGAGTTTCTGTCTGCTAAAGTTTGTTATTTTAATTCTTTTTTGTTTTTTTTTAAATAAATGCTGTA